GGTTTGTGGGGTAACGTCCTGTTTCTCCCTGGATTTGTGCATCCACACATTTATCACATTCCATCCCAGCCCACCCCAGGCGGGAACTTCCCTCCTTCCCTCCCCGTGCTCCCCATCCCCCTTTCCCTCCCGTTCCCGCCTCTCCCCCCCTTCCCTCCATCCCGTTTTTTCCCTGAGCCGCCCTCCCAGGTACGTGTGCATCCGGGGGGTGTTCATCCTGACCACGGAGTGCCCGTCGCTGACGGTGACCTTGGTGGTGACGCTGCGGAAGTTCGTGAGCCTCATCTTCTCCATCCTCTACTTCCGCAACCCCTTCACGGCCTGGCACTGGCTGGGCACCGCCCTCGTCTTCCTGGGCACCCTCCTCTACGCCGAGGTCTGGCACAGCCTGGGCTCCCTCCTGGCCCGCTGCAGGAGGAGGAGGAGGAGGCCCAAGGAGGAGTGACGGCCCAAGGAGTGTTTTTTTCTGGGGAATTCCCCCCTGAGGGGGGTGTTTTTATAGGAGGGGTTGGCTGGGCCAAGCTCCTGGGAATCATCGGAACCCAAACGCTGGGAACTGGGACGGATCATGGACAGATGACAAGGTTGTTTTGGAGAGTAGGCTTTTTTTTTTTTTTTTTTTAATGCTTCCAGCTTTTCCTCCTGATTTTTTGGTTGGTTTTTTTTGTTTGTTTGTTTTTTCCCCTTTGGAATGAGCCTTTGGAAGTAAAAGCTGACCCGGACGATCGCTGTTGTTGGCTCTTCCCAGCTTGGATCAGCTGGACCTGTTGGGTGCCATCCTTTGACGTCCCGCTGGCTGAGCCCCAGAGCTGCTGGTTGGTTGTTCCAGTGGAGGTTTTCCAGTGGAAATTCCAGGCCTGGCTGTTCCCCTGAGTCTTTTGTTCCCTGTTCCCCTGAGTCCTTGTTCCCTGATCCCACCACCTGTGCCGGGAGGGTGTTGGATTCTCCCAGAGCCTTCCAGTTTGCCCAGTGGATCCTGCACTGGAAAATGGCTCGGGGGGGGGTGATTCCCAAGCTGCAGGATCCCATCAGGATGTCGTTGGGAGCCTGAGGAGACCAGGAAGGGGGGATGCCAAGGGGACAACAAGTGTCTCTGTCACCTTCTCTCAGGGAGCTCCAGAGAAGTCAAGGTGTTGCCCCGACACTTGCCCAGCCAGAGGGTTCCTCCAGCTCCTCACTCCAGCTGGGTTTTCCTTCTCTTCCCACTTTCCCCCTCATTCCAAGTGTGTTCAGTGAGCTTTGTTCCCAGCAGGACTATGCTGAGCTCCTGGTGATCCCCACGGATCCTTCCCAACCTCAGGGTTCAGTCAATGCCAAGGAACTCCAGGACTGTTTGAGCTGAGCTTAATCCTGCTGCTGAGGGGGCTGCTTGGACTGTCCCCTTCCCACATTCTTCCCTTTTCCCATCCCTTGGGATCAGCCCTGTCCATGGCAGCGCATCCCCTGTCCCTCAGTGTCACAGTTTTCCTGGAGCTCCGTGTTCCCACCGTGGTGGAGCTGTCCCTGCTTGGCTGGGACTCTTCAGGCATCCAGGATTTCCACCTCAGCCACATCCAGCTTGGAATTCCCTTGTCCCAAAGCCAAGGAGAGGGAAAGGTGGTGTAACAACAAAGGAAAGAGGATGGAAAAAAAAGTCCCAGGAGTCATTCACCTTCTCCCACCCAACAAATCCCTGAGCAATGACACTTTTCCCAAACTTCTTCCCTCTGTTTTTAGTGCTGGTTTTCATCAGCTCTCTTGGATATTCCCCTTCCCAGCTCCTTGCCCACTCGTGGCCCTAATCATTCCTGGGAAGCAGAGTGGGAATAAAGGGAAAGGCTCCTTGCTGTCCTCCAGGCACTGCTGAGTTCCCGGCACCGGTTTGGCCTCAATCCCAAAAATCTGCTGTGGGAGAAGTTCCCTCCATCCCAGCTGGAGCTGGAGTGGGGCTGAGGGGACCTACAGCTCCATCCCGTGATCCTGAAGGGTTTTCCTCTTTTCCCATCCCTTGGGATCAGCTTTGCTGTGTTCCCAGTGCCGGTTTGGCCTCAATCCCAAAAATCCGCTGTGGGAAAAGTTCCCTCCATCCCAGCCAGTGTGGGGCTGAGGGGACCTGTGGCTCCATCCTGAGATCCTGAAGGATTTTCTCTTCCACTTCAATTTTTCCTGAGCCTGGAAAACCTTTTAAGCATCAACCATGGGATGTTTCCAAGGATTTTGACCTCGGCTCTCACTTCCAGCTGTTTTGGTGGCTCCACAAGGACCCGGGGAGAGGGAAAACCTTTAATCCCTCGTTTTCCTCCTCAAATCTACTTACAAAGAGCTTCAGCTCCGCCCAGGAGGTGGGAAAAGCCCCGCAAATTTGGGATGAGGAATTCCAGGGACAGGGAGTTTCCTCAGGGCTTCAAATCCCATATTTCCAAATCCTGGGCCAGGGATTGAGGGAGTGTCCCACACTGTGCTGCTCCCAGGTGGAACTCACTGGACATAAACTCACTGAGTCTCTCCTTCCGTCGAGGAATTTGCACGTTGTCCCCAATTCCCGCTTGGAATTTTACGGGATTCGGGGTTTCTCTTTTATTTATCCGTGTGCTCTTCGCTCCCAACACATCCAACAGTTATTTGTTGCTGCCGGGGGGGATTTTTTTTGTTTTTGAGCTTCCCGGTGTGTTCCCGAATATTTGTCACCCTTGGGAATCATGGAAGCGGCAGAAATTCCCTTCCCGCCGGAGCCAGAATTAGGATTTCGATCCGGGGGTTTTCCCCCTTCAAAATGGGGCTGCTGATTTATTGGGATTTAAGGTTTGCTGGAGGGACCAGAGCACGGGGTTTTTTTTTTAGGAGAGGCTGGAAAAGGGAGTCAAAGCATCTTTTGGGATGGTTGGGTTTAGGGGGGTGGGTTTTTTGGGATTTGGGGGGATTTTTGTTGGATTTTGGGGGTATTTTTATGGATTAAGACTTGTTTTTGTTGGATTTAGGGGGTATTTTTGTTGGGTTT